GTGGCAGCTTAGATCTGATTATTCCACACACGATTTCGTCCTGGGTTGCATTAGATCCCTCTGGTGATTCCAGCTGGAGACAAATTCTTTCCACATGTTCCCGGAGGTTACGCATTGAAAAAAGTGAGTTGTTAGCCACTTGGAGTTGTAAAAGCTCGGCAATCAGTCCTTCTCGCAAGGCTTTTCCATCGCCAAATTGACGCCGAAGTATGCTGACCACCATCGGGTAGTTCTCATCCGACGGCGGATAACCATCAATTGCACGTCGCGCAGCAGAACCAGGTACCAGACTTTGCAATAAACATAGGTGCTTCTCAAAAGGTGGAAGAGGTTGACTGTTGACAGCACGGTCGAATGCCAGCCAAAATGCAGTCCATTCCTTGGGATCGCCAGCAAACTTCATCGGTTCAAGACGAAAAGGCCTAAAGGTTGAGTAAATCGGTGCACCGTTGTACGTTCCCTGCTGTTGGTACGGTGAAAATCCGGCTTGACTTGCGGAGTTGGTGTGATGGGCACTCGTTCCATTACCAGTTGCTTGCTGTTCGTTAATCCGTGCTTGAGTTTGGCGTCGTAAAAATCCATCAGGGTGTTCAGGCGAGTAGTTTTGTTGACCATTATCTTGTGTGTGATGAGCCTGGCGACGTGCGTTATCATTTTGCTCTTTACCAACGGTGACGGACTTCTCAGTTCTTCGTGAGGAGACTGAACCACGATTGCCGACTCTGCGTTGCTGGAGGCAAACATTAACCAAGTCCACTAATTCATAGGAACGCTCAATCTGCGCCAACGCAGTAGGTTCATCATCCTCCCTGACTTCGCCTCTAGGCGGCGGAAAGGCTTGAAGGATGTCCATCTCGTCCTGTTGTTCCGTTGGCATGAGTCGCGCAATGAAGTCTGACCATTTGTCCACCAGTGCCTGTGCACGACCAGCAGCTTCTCTAAGTTGAACAGCATCTGCCTCCAAACGGTCATCTTCATCCACAGTGGTGTCAGTGGCATTCAACGCGGTTAACACGGCACGCCCTTTTACTTTGAGTGTTGATAAGACGGTTGCTAACTGGAGACGAATCACCGCTGACATGGTTAATTGGTGTAGCTCACTCAAAACAGGTAATTGTAGTCGTAGTTGTCCGACTTAACAAAAGGGGAACGGGTAGTTGATTGTTAAAGCCTATCGCACTAGCTGAAGGAGAGAAATAGCTATAACCCAGTTGCTTTACTGTTGTTGTGGTAGTTGGTGTTGTAGTTGACCACGACGGCGTCCCGGGTCGTGGCACCAGTTTGTCGGGAGACGGGCTTCCCGACAAATTGGATTTTTAGGATCGTGGCACCAGACTGTGTTGGTTGTGCCAACACAGTCAAATAACAGAAGGAGAACAGTAAGTGAACCTCGAGGCGGTTCACTTTTCCACTCAAACAAAATACAACGACAAGTCAACAATAAATTTACTTCTTCCACAAAAAATAATAGCCAAAAAAACAGAGCAGTAAAATAAATCGAGCACTAATTAAACAAAGGTAGAAGCCGCGGATCAGCCAACCAAAAGATGAGAGTTGAAATTGAAAACTGGAAGCGGTTGAAAGTAAAAACTGGAGGTGAATGGTAATTTTTGGGGGGCTGATCCTCGGCTTAAATAGAGATTAAAAGAGGGCGGGTCTTGGCAAAAAACTCAAAAAATGCGAACTTGAAAAATAATGCTTAATAGATTATAGAAAACCAAATGTGTAGAGAGAACGGGGCAGAGAAGACAATCGGAAAAAACAATAGGAAAAATTTAAGTTGTGACAGGCGCAAACTGTCACTAAAAAATAGAGAGAAAAAATTTTGGCGGGAAAAAGGTTTAAAAAGATTGAGTGGACAATGAAAAAAATAAAGGGTGAACGGCTAAAAAATTAACGAGGAGTGAACGGGGGACAATTTAAAAAAGAGACAATTCAATGAAAAGTCGCCAAAATTGGCGACAACTTTCTAACAAAATTTTTCCTTCGAAATCTCTCCAGATTTTTCCTTCTCTCCGAAATCTCTCCAGATTTTACCTTCGAAGTCTCTCCAGACCTTCGAAGTCTCTCCAGATCTCTCCACATTCGAAGACTCTCCAGATACATTACTCTAAAAAATTTTAATCTTTTAGAATTTAATAATTTTTTAGCAAGTGAATACATACCTACAAATGAACAACAATCAATCCACCGTCAATGTAAGAAATATTACATAGATTCCGCTTAAATAAACAGTTGTCAGATAAATAATGAGCCCTTTGCGCATAAATAAAACAATTTACTATAACTAAATAATGAAATGGAATCAAGAGACAATATAATGTCCATTATTATCTATCACTTTTTGCCACTTGCTAGGCAGTTTTTGAATTCCCCTTTGATAAAATGTAGTGGCAGATTTGGTATCAAGAAAGTTGGCAACCGCGTTCGAAGCATTACAAAATAACAGTCCAAATTTAATATTTTGAGGCCATAATTTTAAAAAAATTTTTTAAAAAACTGCAAAAATCAAAAATTATTTTTTAATTACTTTTTTATTTTTTTAATTAATTAAAGTATCAATTCCACTTGAACTTTCACCTGGACAATTAACACTTTCAATGGATGATTCGTTAAATAAGTGTTATGTTGGGGATCCATATAATCTTCCTTTTTTTCTCGGCCAAAATTTATGGGAAAATTACAATTTTTCTGATAAAATAACTGAGGAAGATAAAAATTTAGAAGAAAATTTTAATTCAGAATGGGTTACCAACAAAATAACTAATCATTTTGATGAATTTGGATGGCCAGAAGAGGAAAGAATACTAACTAAAAACAAGGTTAGATAACCTTAATTGGGTACACCCCAACGTACCGCGAGGCCAACGTACCGCAGAGCTATACCTTCGTTCAAATACAGCTCGTCGAGATGCATCGAACCATACCAAGGCGTCCCGGATTTGACCATTTTGAATGAAGTTATAGCTCTGCGGTACGTTGGGCTCCCGGTACGTTAGCCTGCTTCCTCTTAATTTGTCTCAAAAAAAATTTTTTATAGAAATATATGTTGAGCATTAATCTACTGGCAGATAAAATTAATTGGATTTTTGAAACTCTTGATTCTAATGATTCAACAAAAGAATCTCAACCAGATTTTGGTCATTTAGATGATAAAGAAATGATTAAAACTGTTTTATTGCTTGAAGAATATGCAAAGTAAAATAAATATTTTTTAAAAATTTAATAATTTTTAGATGTGTTTCCAAATGGAATAATAAAGCGATATTATCCTTGACAGGTCCAATTTTTGTGATTCCTGAATCTTCTGCAGAAGAAACTAAACTTAAAGGAAGGGTGAAAGGCTATACAGTAATTAATTTTTAAAAGAGAATTTTTGAAATTTCTTTAGGTTTCAATATGGGGAGGATCAAAAATTAATTCTAAATCAGTATTAAGTCTTGGGTGTATCCGTGCTTCCGATAGAATTGAAAAACACTTAATTTTAACACCCGATCCGATCCCCGTTACGGATCCCGACTTGGGATCGGGATAATTGGGAAAACCTAGATAATTGAACCTTAGATAACTCGAAAACCGATCCGAAATCTGCGACATCCCTGACACAGACAAGCATCCATTAAGGATTTTATGAAACCATTTAAAGTAAGGTTGCACCCCGAACGCTCGGGGGTGGAAAATCTCCGAAAGCTCAATGGTTTTCGAATTGTTTCGTGTCGGGGTACGGGGTCAGGATGCAACTCTAATTTACAGGACCATACACTAAATACCCATAACTTAAAATTTTATTTAAATTTTTAAGTTTAACAATTCAATAAAACAACCGCCAATAACTCAATTTTATCAAGTTATTTTTATCAAATATGAAAATAAAAAATATTGTGCTGACATTATTTTTACTGAAGCTAAAACGAAAATGGAGACAATTTTTGATACAAATAAAGAAGCTTATTGTGGAAAATCTAGCATAGATAATTGGGAATACAAAAATTATGTTAAAGATTCAAAGCTTATGGAGCAAATGTTTGAAAATAAATTACGGTTTTTGGAATGGTATATTGGATTTGAGTTGATTGAATTGATAAATGCTGCAGGAATTGAGGGAATTAGTAATTTAGGTAGTTTTTTGCAAGGAGATCAGCAAAATCTCGGATCAGCAAAATCGTGATCGTGGTTCAATTAAACCGAGATAATCCCGCACGATCACGACCGGGATCCCGATTCAAGCAACTATACTTTAGATCAACTCCATTTTTCACAATAAGAATTCTTTCTTACTCTTCCAACCCCAAACCAACAATATGGCTGATCTTTCACTTGAAATGAATAATAAACCCTCAGACATGGTGTTAAATGTCAAGAACTTTAACTAATAATAATAACAAAAATTAAAGAGATATGCAGTGAAGGTCAAATATTCAAAAATGTTAATGAGTTAAATAAAGAATTAGAATTCTCAGACCTAAAATCAAATCAACATTTATCCTTTCCAAAAACTCTGTTACCAACATTTTCAAACAAATTTACAAATTTTAAAAATATTAAAGAGGAAAATTCTGTAAAATATTCAAAATCGAACATTCGAATATATAAAGTATGTTTAACTTATTTATTAGATGAAAATTTCGAATTTATGAATTTTCTAAGTGGATTTAGTTATTTGAATAAAATGTAATTCTTGTAAAATTTATGAAAAAGCTTAATAGATCATCTAAATATGAATTTTTTAAACTTTTAGAAAGAAGTTTTGCAATTGGGTGCCTTGATCGGGATTTAACCATTGCTAAAGTGCATTTCAAATAGATTAATAACGTTCTAGTGTTTTTACTTTGAGGGTTGCCATAGCTACCCGGGATATTTGATTATGTAATAATCATATGATCTGCATAAAATTTTAAATATATCCAATAATATATGTAATTATTCTTTAATTTAAGGATTATATCTTAAGTTTTAACAGAAGAAGGAGGATACCAAATTGGGTTTTGGAAGTTTTGACAATGGAAAAAGCAAGGTTGATTAGACCTACAGCAAGACTTACCTGGAATACTGATCCAGAATTTTCTCTAAAATTTCAGCCAAAATATGGGGATTACGACAATCCTCGGGTAATATTTTTTTAATTTATAATAAAGTAACATTACAAGCGGGAAGGACGGCTAGGACGTAGAAGCCTATCGTCCTCCCGCTATCTTAAGAGCGCTGAATAGTGGAAAGGGGGCAAACAAAACGGCATATGGAATTGGGTCTGGCGCAGAGGATTTCCCTAATATAGTTTAATATTTCATCTTATAGCGTTTTGAACTAGGTCACGGACATCTGGCTACAGCATTTTTACACCCACATCAACAAGGATTCTACCTTACCAATTCAGTACCACAACTAGATCAAGTTAATGGTGGGCATTGGCGAGTTATTGAAGAATATATTAGGTAAATATATTACTAGACCAATGATGTCTTCAGTCAGACTTATCAATAAAATGAGTCTTGTTCATCATTAGTTAATACAAAATCTAGGGGGTGTGCTTGATTTTTTGATATATTAAGATACGATCTACAACACTAATATCCTTAGAATCTTATACAAATCCGGTAGAATATCCAAATCCCTTAGAATCTTATACATATAATCTCTTCTTCTATAATCTTAAATATATTTCTAATTTTTAAGTTGTTTAACAAGACGGATAGAAGAAACATATATTTATACAGGCCCATTATTTTTGCCGAATGAGAAAACTAATTTAATGGAATTTCAAGTAATAAAACTTGAATTAATACAATTTGTGTACCATAAATTTTCATAAATGTTCAGGTTCTTGGACCAAAGGAAATTTTTGTTCCTACACATCTATTCAAGGTTGTATTACTCAAAATATCTTATAATGATGGCTGGAAATATTGGTTGGAATCCTATGTGATTACGAATACAAATTTAGATGAGTTATTTGACGAAAAACAGAGCAAGTTTCATTATTTAAATATGTGGAACTCCACTGCAAAAATAATTTTAAGCTCGAAGTGATAGAAGGATTGGGTTAGGAAGACTAATAATATTTAAAAATAATATTTGGGATTTTCTTTTATGTCCGTAATTACAGAAAGTATATGAATGAATAAGAATAGTAATAAGGTTAAGGTTCTAAATTAAATCATAAGGTTCCGATCCAGAGATCCTAGTCGGTCATAATCTGTATTGAGTCTGATCAATGACCATTTGAGTTTCCTTGCATTACCAGAAAAAATATAATAGTACTTTTGTAAGAATTATTAAAGTACCTGTATAAGAAAATATAATATGATTGATTCAATTAATTTAGAAACCCCAGCAAGACCCTATAATGATGGATCATATGAAACTGTGCAGGAGTGCAGAAGGAATCCTTATTTCCTTAAATTTCAAGGAGTATCACCAAGAAAACACATACAAGATTTATTGAATCATTACAGGAAGCCATTTAAATTTATTGAAAAATATAGTGATATTCGGTTGTTTGATTTATTAAGTGATGAAATAAAGGAGATAAAGGATGGTGTTCTTTTTGATATGGAAAGAGTTGTTAAGAAAAAAGAAGGGAAAAAGAAAGTAAATGAATATTTTGGAAAAATAGAAAATTTCAATGAGAAGGAAATCTTGGAAGTAAAAAAGGTAAAGGAGAATGTAAAAGCTAAAAATAATAAGAACAAGAAAAACAAATCAGGCAACAACAAAGGGCAAATCAGAACAACTAAGGAGGAAGATTCTAAGGGAACAGAAACTAAAAATTTAGAAAAGGAATTGACAAAAAGTTCAATTTCTGTTAATCAAGAAGTATCAACTAAAAATACAAAGAAAATCAGCAATGATACTGTCGTTGAAAAAATATTACCAAAATCTGAAAATGCCGATTTAAAGTCAAATTTGACACCTACAGCATCATTGACTAAGTCCGAAGGCTTAGAGGTTTTGTATTTAATTCTTTAATCTTGGCAGTACTTTTGTTAAGCTGAATAATGGTTTTTATATCATTGGTATTGAGATCAGAGGTGGGTCGGAACAGTCATAGGTGTCGGAAATCGGAAGAGCTAAAAATTGCAATTGGCCCAAAAGTCGGAACTCGGAGATCAAAATTTTTATTTGGTTCAAATTTTTATTTCTAATTCCATGTTTAGTATATTTTTTCGATTATACCTTGTCAGGACATCAAAATCCTTCTTAATAATAAACAATTTTATCCAATAATTTAGATAACGAATGACTCCGAAAACTTAAACAAACCAAAAAGCGAGTCATCTAAAAACAGCAAACAAAAAAAGAAAAATAAAAATAAGGACAAAACAAAATCTAAAGATCCTAAACAAGATAAAGGCAAACAAAAATCTAAAGGACCAGACCCAGATATGATTTTTCTGGATGAATATATAAAAGAAAATCTTGAAATTCAAGCAAAGAAAGAAAAAGAGGAAAAAGCTCGTTTTAAAACCGAATTAAAAAATGCTAAAGAAAAATTTGAAAAGCTTGACAAAGTGGAACAAATCTTCAACAATCCAATTTCAAATAAAACTTCAAAGGAAAATCCTTTTGAACAATCCCTAAATTATTTGTTGTTTTACGGAAATATAATCTCCGAAAAAATGGATAATTTCTTTAACAAAGACAAAAATTTGAACGAATTTTGTTGGCTAGACCAAAAAATAAAATTATATTTAAAACAAATAATTGCCTGTTTTGACGATTTATTTAAAATTGAAAAATTAGAATATAAACTTTGGGAGTGTTTTGACAGTTCATTTTATTCTCAATTTATTGAAAGGGGAAATATTATTGCAAATAAATATCCAAATCTTTTTAATGATATTAATGGGTTAAATTTATATGTTGTCAATTTTGTAAAATTTTATAGGGGAAATGATTTGATATTTTTGGTTAGAAAAGATTTGGTAAAGGCTTTGTCATTTGTTTTAAGTGAGGATTATACTTCAAAAAAGTTTAATTCGATTGAAGATGCTTTAGGTTAAATTTTAAATTATTAATATATGAAAAATGTATATAAATTCTTAAATGTTGAAATAATAATCATAAATATAGTCCCAATTTCCAACCCTGAAATAAAGATTAATCCTTGACCGGCATAATTTCGTACTTGCCGAGAATAACAATTAATCTAGTAGGGTTGCGGTTACTGGAAATTCTTCGTAAAACAGAAAACCGAACCGAAGAACCGAACCAAAAATTTTCGGATACCCGGAACCGAACTTCGGTTAGGTTCGGTCCAGAACCGACAACTCAAAATCTAACAGTAAAAAGTAACAATTTATGCGAGATCAGGGATTATGCGAGATTGTGCTTTATTATCCAATTGAACTTACGTTGAAACTCGGTTTTATAATATCTGTAATTACACTAATACAAAATAATAAAAATAAAAAATATTAGTAAAATTAAATTATATAAAATAGTAAATTTTAGTTGAAATTTTATCAACACATCCTCAAACAGTATTTCTGAATATGATAAAATTATCTATGAATTATATAAAAGATTTGAATTTATATAAACTTATTGATAATATATACATTCTTGGACGTTATACCTATTTATTTGATCATATTCAACGAATGTATGATTTATATGGGGAAGGGTTATTAATTTATTCTGCAGTTGCCGGAGTTATTTATGATGAGATGTTGGTAGTTTTAAATATTTATTAAGTAAAAATTTGTTGAGAAGTCACACAAAAATTTTGAAGTTTTTTGTGATTTTATTGTGATTAGGGGTGTGATTTGGGGATATGATTAAATTTCCAATTATCCTCCAAAGCCCTGACTATAAATAGAAAATCATGTCAAAGTATTGTAAGGATGATTCACCTAGAAGAAGGAAAAAGAGAAAGCATTAGTCGATGCCCCAGTAGCTCAGTGTAAGAGCTCCGTATGTGGTGAGCGAAAACGCCTAGCAATAATCCTGCTCGATCCCTTTTGCAATAATCCCTTTTGCTAAACTTTTTCTGTATATAATACCTACCAAAAACTAGAGTGCGGAGATCCCCTTCTCACTTATTTCAATTTAAAAGATGACCAAGAAAAATTCCTGGAAATCCCTCTGAGATGTCAAAAGAATAAGTCGAAATAATATTTAAACCAAATTTAGAATAACAAAAATTATAAATGAAATAAAAAACTTAAAAGAATTAATGGAAATGTATCCTTCGGCAAATGATAATGATAAAGAAATAAAAATATCAACATTTAAAGATTTTATTTCAACAAAACTAAAAGAAGCACTTTTAAATGGATTTAATCATTCACTTAAAATATTAGAAAATGAAGATATTAAAATGTCCAATGTCATTGATATTGGAGAAAGTTCAGAATCAAAGACGGGAAATAAAGGAAATATTGAAGATAATAAAACAAAAATATATGAAAAGGAAGTTGAATTATTAGTGAAAGATATTTTTTACGTTCTTTCCAATGTTCATGATTTATTGAGTTTCTTGAAAGGCAATAGTATACTGATATCTCCATTAGCTAATAGAAATAAAAATCCCTTTTCATAAAAGAAATTATTGGCCAAAATTTTTTTTGTAATTTTAAATATGTTTTTTATTTTGATAAATATTAGTTAAAATTTATATTTATTTTAATTAAAGTTATTGTTAAATTACTGGGTCCACCAAAGAAGGGCAACACCCAGAATGTCTCTCTCCAAAGGTCAAGGAGACGGACGTAAGATCAAGATTACGTTTGCCTGCTCATTTTCGTTTGCCTGTTCCCAAAATTAGAAATCTAAAATTCGAGGCTTAAGGTACTGCTCAAATCCTTGATGTTTTTTGTTGTTTTAAATTTCATTGTTTTAAATTTTAAAAATATTGTTTTAATATTTTTAAAATATTGTTTTAATATATTTTTTCATAGTTTTAAATTTTAAAAATATAGAGAGAATAGATAATTCAACTGAAATTGGGTAAAAGTCGTTGTATTTCGAAAACCTTCTTAAAAAATCTTATTTTTCTTATTGTTTTGATTTTACGTTTATTTTTTTACGTTTTTTGCACCACTTTAATGTATTTTAAAATACCTGTGGTTTGCTAATAAAATAAATAAAATAAAAAATTATTATCGTTAAATCCACCCAAAAATTTATTGTTCGAAACAATAAAAACAAAATAACGGAAGAATATATGTATCCATTTCTAAACAGAAAAGCTTGAAGATGGAAAAGATAGTATTGATGAAAATAAATTATTTAAAAATCAAAAATTCTTCTCAAGACTAAGCTTCATTCTTTAATAAAATGCACATTTTATTTCTTCATTAAATCATCCCCATCATTAAACTTTTGTTCCTGCTGAATTTTTTGGAAATTGTTATGAATATATTGCACATATTCACTATGATAATTTTTAATTATCTCTATGTCATTTTTTAATTGGCTTTGCTTTTCTAAATTTTTCTCCAATCCTTGACAAAGCTTATTTTGTTCTTCAAAAAGTTTATTTATTTTTTCATGTTCTTTTAATTGTAATTGAGTAAATTCTTCATTATCTAAGTTGCCAGATAAATTTAATTGATCCTATATAAAAAGATAAAAATATATTCTATTCTCTCGAAAAATATAGTTACCGTATTTTCTCGATTGATTCCCCTCCCTCGAATAATTCCCACTCTCGATTAATTCCCCCTGCCAGGGATGGGTTGAAATAATAATTCCCCGCCCTCCAAATACTTTACTCCACTTTCCAATTCCAAACTCGAATAATTCCCCTCCCTCGAATAATTTCCTATCCCCGGATGGGTTGAAATATTAATTCACCGACGGAATTAAACGATCGTTAAAATTAATTATTCACCTGTATCTCTTTAATTAATAAAAGTGAATTATTAATTAATTGGTTATTTCGAAACCATAAATTTTGGATATTGACATATTCATCCTTATAATATTTTAGCATTTTAAGAAATAAATTATGTTGCCCTTCGGGTGTTTGTGGAAATTGGTTTATTGCTTAAAAAAGATTTTTAGCTTTGATAATTTTCAGCTTAATAAAAATTAAAATTTACTGAAGGCTGATAATGGTAGATGTTCATATAAATCAAGTAAATGTTCGGGAAGTTGACTATGTGGCTGTTGTTCCATTTTAAATTCAAAATTTAATTTTTAAAAAATTCCAAAAATAAACATACTTGATCTAGATACCCTCTAATAAACCCAAACTTAGAGCTTTCTCCAACTTCCATTTTGATCGGATCTTTTGAACCTTCCCCTTTTTCCATCCCAAATATAAATTGAAATTTAACAAAAATAATAATTAAAAATAAATATTTCATTAAGGATAAATTTTAAATAAAATTTTTATTTAAATAAATTAAATGGATGTAATGAAAGTGTATGTATGTATGTAAAGTGTATGTATGTGTGTATGTATGTATGTAGACGCTCGGCATCTTGCGAAATCTCGTCTGTTATTCAATTAAAAAATAAGAGGCGCATTATTTTCAAAAGGAAGGAGACATGAAAGGCGAAAAGCACTTTTAATGTAAACAAAGCGCTATAATGGCACGTTTACATAAAAAGCGTCTTGCGTTTTGTGACAAAAATAAAACTTATTTTGCCGCAAAATACAAGACGCTTTTTATGTAAACAAAGCTTTATAAAATAATTTTCTTGAAGAAATTTTGTGTAATAATTCTTTAATTTCAAACCAATTTTTAAAAGATTTTTTTGAAAACCCTTTAATTTTTGGCGGAGAAAGGAATTTATTACACAAGAAATAACCGATACTTTCAAAATTCCATAATTTTTTTTTCGTTATCTAAGAATTGTATTCCATCTCCTCTCAAAGGCATGCACTTTATCGCTCTCACTCTCGCCTTCATTATTGTATTTTTTTAATTAAACGTTTAAAAAAACAAAAATATCGAAATTCATGTGACATTCATCATGCCCTTCATCCTCTTATTTGAAATAACAATTAAAATATTTTTAAATTATTAATAAATAAAGAAATAAATAAAGTGTGAATAAATAAAGTAAAGCGCCGATTCTATCCAAGAAAATTGTCAAAAAATTGGATGGGGATTGTTTTTGAGAGCTCTTCAATTGAAGGTTCTAACAGATTAAACATCCACCACAAACTGATAGGTTTCGCTTCTTTTTTCAGCTAGGCCGGGAGGTCTTACAATACGTATTAAAATAAGTGGCAATAAAAATGACCATCAAACCATCGACTCCACCCAGGGCTGCACGCAATTGGAAAAAAATTTCGCAATTCGCAATCCGCAACTCGCAATTTCTTTTTAAAAATCCGCAAACGCAATTCGCAACTCGCAATTGCAAAACCCCGCAATTTACGCAATCCGCAGTTGCTTGCGCCATGCTTCTACTCTCTATAACAACTGTAAAAACGACAACACACTTTTAACGGCCTATTCTAAACAAACTTAAAATTTTACTCAACTATTTATAAACCAGTTTTATTTAAATTCTCTATTCAAATTCTTATAAGAGAAATAAGAATTTTCAATTTGATTAGCAACTGAATAAATAAATATTTAAATTTAAATTTTTGTTTATTGCCAGTTGCCCTTGTAGCTCAGTGGTTAGAGCGTCTGTCTTGTAAACAGAAGGTCGATGGTTCGAATCCATTCTGGGGCAATTTTTTTTATCAAATTTTAGAATTTATTTGAACTAAATTTAAAAAAACTAAATATAAATTAACAAATTTAGGTAATTCAAATTTAAAGGTAAAAAATAAAGTTAGCGTAAGAAAAAATTTTATTTTGGATAGAGTGATGTCAGGGTTTCGAGTGTTACGAGAATATGAGAGCATTTGGGAAGCTTATTGAGGATTTGGGACTCATATTCTCTCAGGAGATGCATATTCTATTTTTTGGACGTATATTCTCTGATACTTTGATGGAACGCATAAAAGCTCATGGTACGCATGTACTAATGTAGAGCCTAAAGTAGAGAGAGAGATTTTTTAATTTTTATTTCATTTCGTTGGAAATGAAATAAAAATTTTTTTCCCTAATTTTTTATAAATTCTAATAATTAAAAAATAAAAGTATGTATGTACATTTGTTTATACTCGAAAAATTCTTCAAAATGAATGAGCTTTGAAAAGCTTACTACAACCGTAAATCCAATAATTTAATGACAAATTACTCTAGAATTTTAATTGATTCTTAACAGGGTATCACATATGTCTATGAAAATCTCTTAACCTAACCTACATTAGTAACAGTGCTATTTTAATTTTAAAAACCGTTCGTCTGTGGAAAGCTCCTTAGAGGAGGAAAGCTCTTTAGAGGAGGGGGCATAATTAAATTGAATGCTGTCATTTAAATAGAGGATTTACGTATATAAACTACATTTTAGATAAAATAATTTTTTGCTTTTCAATAAAGTTTAACCTTTCTTCAAGGTATTTTCTTCGAATTCTTTTTGGATTTCAAAACATCATCCGTAATTCCGTCCTGTTTGCGTTTACCTTTTAATTGATATTAGGTATATTCATTTAAATATTTATCTTATTAATTATTTATTAAATTTTTTTTACTTTCCTACAAAATTTCTCAATTTTTGAGATTTTTTTATTTATAGCGAAATTTAATAATGGACCGGAAAAACAATTATTTTATCTAGATTATAATGTAAGGATAAAACGCTTAGGCGGGGGTTAAACGATCTAAAAAGGAAAAAGAGAAAGCATTAGTCGATGCCCCGGTAGCTCAGAGGTAGAGCTACTGCATATAGTGAGAGCGCCTAGCAACAACTAGCAGGTGATCACAGGTTCGGTGGCTAAACTGTTGCAAACTCTTTCTATAATAATTCTTTGTTAGTCTAGTAATTGGACGTAGACTTTTATCGCTCCGTATCGATCAAAAATCTCGGTTTTAGATATCAAGATTTTTAAATGATAAAATTTTTTGGTTTTTAGAACTGTAAAAGTTATTGGGCTGTAAAAGTTATCTGTGTAAATAAGCGATGCTATGCCTAAAGTTCATATGTATTCATGGCTTTTTGCTTCCCCAATTTTAAATATCTACCCCTTAGCAATCTATTTTTTAATTAACTTAAATTTTAAATTTTTACGGGGATTATACTTGTTCTCATCATCTACTCCATCATTCTCTACATTTACACTTTCTTCATATTCATTCAAATCTTCCATCTCCTTTAATTCTTCTTCCATCTCCTTCAATTCTTCTTTCTTCTCCTTCTCATTGAAAATCAGTTTTTGTTCAAATTTTTTATTTGCAAGTATTTCCAAGAATGTTTTCTCATTATATTTTTTAATTAAATATAAATAGGCTACATCTTGCATATGTTGCATTTTATCAGAATTAAGTTTATAACATATTTCCTTTGGTTCTTGAGTATTATTTTGTGAGTCTTTTCCAGTTTTATTCTCCTCTTTAGGTGGAGCCTTGTGCTCTTTATGAGATGTTTTCTCATCCTTATGGGATGCTTCCTTCTCATTATGAGATGTTTTCTCATCCTTATGGGATGCTTCCTTCTCATTATGAGATGTTTTCTCATCCTTATGGGATGCTTCCTTCTCATTATGAGATGTTTTCTCATCCTTATGGGATGCTTCCTTCTCATTATGAGATGTTTTATCATCCTTATGGGATGCTTCCTTCTCATTATGAGATGTTTTCTCATCCTTATGAGATGTTTCCTTCTCGTTATGAGATGCTTCCTTCTCATTATGAGATGTTTTCTCATCCTTATGGGATGCTTCCTTCTCATTATGAGATGTTTTCTCATCCTTATGAGATGTTTCCTTCTCGTTATGAGATGCTTCTTTCTCATTATGAGATGTTTTCTCATCCTTATGAGATGTTTCCTTCTCGTTATGAGATGCTTCCTTCTCATTATGAGATGTTTTCTCATCCTTATGAGATGTTTCCTTCTCTTTATGTGATGTTTTTTCGTCTTTATGTGATGTTTCCTTCTCTTTAAGAGATGTTTTCTCAACTCTATGAGATGTTTCCTTCTCTTTATGTGATATTTTCTCGTCTTTATGGAATGTTTTTTCGTCTCTATGAGAGGTTTCCTCTTCCTTAGGTTCTGTCCAGCAAGCCTGAACATTTTTAAATTGAAAGGATTCAAACAAATTAAAACGATTAAGTTATTACTTGAATAAGAAGAAGTTAAAAGTTTGGATAAATCTCCAGATAGAACCAATATTCGAACAAAAAGGTAAACGATTAAATTTGTCGAAAGTTAAAAATTGGACGCGAGATTTTAGTAAAAGAATTATTTTTCTTGTACTCATATGTATATTAAGGTCATTCTATTTGAGCCACAGTTTCTAATATAACCACTTCAAATGGAGTGGTTTAAAATAGATATCTCCATTTGAACTACAGTCTCTTATATAAAATTTGGAAGCGAGAGTGGTTCTATTAGAATAAATCCGGTATTTATAAAAATTCTTTAACCTCAAAATTTTCAAGAATATAATCTATACGTTCCTCCAAACTAAATAATTTTTCTAATTCATCTTTAGCATTATCCTTAACAGGCTTTATTTGTATCCACATAACCTGTTGTGCATCACTACCCTTTTTTAATTTTAATTCTTCCTTAATAGTAGAATCAACTTCAAATGCGAATGTAATGGACTCCGTCCATGCGTTGTCTGTGCTTAACTGAAAATTAGAAAATTATTATTTGATAATTTGATGAAAAAGACAAGATCAGTGTTGGGTATGGCTCCGTGAGCTCGGGGCCCGAATATGGAGCTCTTTGGAAGATTATAAACTTCCTTCGTAAAAAAGTTTTTCTATTAACGAATTGTCAAATTTCCAAAATTTCCCCTTAGTCCCCTCCAAATCCCACGATAATCTTGTTAATCTTATGATATTACTGGATATCACATTTAATCATGTGACGAAAATCGCAGGCTCCGGAGCCATGGTTTGAAAATGTCAGAGCTGGGCCAACAAATGGCCAATACCCAGTATTAGACGAGATCATATCCCCAAGATTAATGGAAAAATCCTTCGACTCTACTAAATTTTTTGTCTAGTCTCAGTCAAACACTTTAATCACTAACTATTAAACTTCGTAAAACACTAATAATTATTCTGTTACCTGACTTAATTCAGCACCACCAAATTTAACTAATTCTCCTTTACCAATAATTTCTTCCATTTTTTCAAATTCTTCTTTGTTTCTTTTTTTCTTTAATCCAAAAGCTTCTTCTATTAATTCTCTCTTTGCAGAATATTCAAATTCCTCTCCCATGTCTACAAATCCACCCGGCGTGACGATATCTTTAATTTAAATTATTTCTTGAAACATTCAAAATATT